GGTGTACAGACTCATCAGCACTAGGCAACTTTTTACCACCCCATACAAACCTAGATGTAATGGACTTTGTGAGAGAGTCAAATGGAAACTTAAAGAGTATGCTGAAGATGTGCCAGGAAAAACTATGTTACTGGGACAAGTACCTGCTAACAGTATTATCTGCTTACCAAGAAGTCTCACAAGCAAGTACAGGATTTTCTCCCTTGGAAGTTGCTGTATGGAAGAACAGTACATGATCTAATGCACATAATGAAAGAGCTGTGGACAGGAGAAGAAGAGTAAGAGTGAGGAACACATACCAGTACATGTTAGACCTCAGAAACTAACAGCAGAAGACCCATCAACTTGCTCAAGAAAGCTTGTATGCATCTCAAGACAGTCAGAAGCACTTCTGTGAGAAGAAAACCAAGAATCGATGTTTTGAGGTCACACATAAGGTTTTGGTTCTGCTACCTACAGACAGTAAGAAACTCACTCTGTATTGGCAAGGACCTTTTCAGGTGCAGGAAATGGTTAACAGAATGGACTATAAGGTGAAAGTGAATGGGAAGACTGAGATCTACCATGTCAATTTGTTGAAGAGGTACTTCAAGAGGGAAGAAGACATAAATGGTGCAGCTATTGAGGCACATATGGACATTGTAGGTGTGGCTGTCATAGATGCAGAACCAGAAGACAAAGACTTTGTCACAGAAGATGAAAACTATTAGACGCAAGACCGCTGGGTGGAGATAAGAAGTACAAGATAGTCGACATAAATGAAGAACTGACTGGCAAGCAGAAGAAAGACCTATAAGAACTACTGTGCCAGTACACAGATGTCTTCACAGATGGACCAGGCAAGACAGACCTTGTGCAAACCCAGATTGAGACTACATACAACCAGGAATTCTGTCAAGGTGAAGCCCTACCAGATGCCCTGTGTGATGAGAGACCTAATAAGAGAAGAAGTTGAAGTAATGTTAGAAGCTGGAATCAATGAGCCTTCAAAGTAGACCTACTATTCACCAGTCATAATCGTAAAGAAGAGTGATGGCTCAAACCTCTTCTACATGGACTTTCAGTAGCTGAACCTCAAAATGAAGTTCGACTCTGAACCTATGAGCAACCCAGAGGTTATCATGGCAAAACCTCAGTAAAGATTATTGGCAGATCCCTATTCAGACAAAATCTCAAGGGAAGACAGCCTTTGTGACACCAAACAGATACTACCAGTTTAAAAGGATGCTGTTTGTGTTTGTCAACTCTGCAGCAACCTTCAACCACATGATGAGGAAGATGTTACATCAGGAGCATTATGTGGATGACATTCTGACCCACGCAGCCAGATGGAAAGACCAACTGAAGATTCTCAGGAGAGCTGTTTGGGCAAGCGAGGGCAGCAGATCTGACCATTAGACCACCTAAGCACTACATCAGTTATACTGTGCTGGACTTTCTTGGACGTAAGGTGGGCAAGAAAAGAAGCTAATCTACATATTAGATGCACCAGCTCCAATGACTAAGAAGCAAGTCAGATCCTTCCTGGGGTTAGCAGGACACTACAGGAAGTTCATCCCAAACTATGCTGAAGTTGTTGCACCACTGACTGACCTGACCAAGAAAGGCCTATCCAACAAAGTGAAGTGGGAACAACAACAGCAGATGGCATTTCAAAAGTTCAAGAACATGCTAGAAAGTTTGCCAATTCTTAGAATGACAGACTTCAACAAACCTTTCATCCTTCAGGCCGATGCTTCAGACATTGAATTTGGAGCAGTACTCCAACATGAACATGAAAACAGACTGTTTCCAGTATTGTACGTAAGTAAAAATCTGTTGAGTAGTGAGAAGATCTAGTGATCTAGCCATCATATTTGCTATCCATAAGTTCCAGAACTACCTCTATGGGAAGGAGTTCATCATCCAGATAGACCATCAGTACCTTGTATACATCCATAGGTGTAAGTCAACAGTGCATGGATCATGATGTGGGTGTTGTAGCCATCAAGGGGACTGCAAATGTTGGTGCAGATAGTATGAGTAGACCTTATGCATGAACTGAGAACAATTTTTGCATATAACATAAGAAATATTGTAAATATTTTTCTTGAAGAGGGGCTTATTGTCAGTTATACACAACTGTTCATTTTAAGTTAAATACAAGTGTATTATTTAGTTTATATAGTGCAAGCATTAAAGGAAGTTAGTTATAGAAGGGATAGTTATGGCAAGTTTGCTTATGTATAATTTGTTTTATAGTTGAATTATTGTAAACTGATGTCATGTTACTCGCACCTTCTGAATTTTTCTTGTTGCTTTAAGTGAGTATTGTTACAGTTTGTAGAACATTCTATGCCTCAGTAGTGTAATATATATATATAGGCGACCAAGTTAGTGAAAGTAACTTAGTAAGAGATATAGTCAAACAGATCTAGACTGTGTTTGTAAGTTTAACCATAAAGAGTGTCTAGTGGCAAATGTTAAAGTGTAATAATTGCAGATTGTATTTTAATAACAGAGCCTGTGTGGACTCTTGATGATAAAAAAATGATTATTTAAAACTCTGCATAAAACTGTGATGATTAACTGTGTGATGAACATTTGTATATGCATTTGACTGGTTTTGAATATATTATTTTAAAACAAGTGCATTGTGTGCTGTCCATTTATTGTTGAAATTTATCACTAACAAGTTACAGACACCTACTGTAAAGAATCCTTCTCACCCATATGTACCTAAAAACCTGACAAACAGTTCATTATTAAGTCTAATGTTGTAACAAGGCTTAGATGTACCTGTAGTAATGGAACTTAAAAGTGTCCAACAATACCAACTAAAATACACTAACACTAAAATAACAACTAAAAATATTGAAAAAATACTTATCTCTTCTGGAAGAATGCTATAACCTACAACTACTTCTTTGCTCAGAGCTCAATCTTCCATCTGGTATTCAGATACACAAAGTTTACGATTAAAAAGTAACTTAATTCTAAATTACTGAATATGAAGACAGGTTTCCTCTGGCTTTTCACATTTCCTTGCCACAAGACAAAATTTTTGAAGTAAAAATTTAAGTCAACTTTATGTGTTGATTCTAACTACATTTCAACAAATCACACTCAATCATATTTTAGAATTGATATTTCATCATTTTCCAACATTTATTTCATGTAAATCAATAAGAAAAATCTAATATTTTCATTTCTGCACAGCTGCAGAGAGTTATGCCTGTAAACAAATCAACCTATTTGTTGGATTTGTTTAGATTTTTTTTTTTTTGACACTCCAAAAATAACTTTTCTTCCATAGAACCTATCACTTCTTTAAAACATATCATCTGTTTCATGATTTTCAAACGTTTCCCATTGTTTTTGTATAGGCTTTGGTTGAAATCCTGTTATGGTGTTTCATTAAATTGTCTGATGATTTACTAATGAAACATAACTTTCAAAATATCTATAAAGTACGTAATATGATTGAATAGAGCAAGAATTAAGATACCATCTAATAATAAAGTAAATATATAGGTTTAAGAGTTGTTGTTTTTTAATAGTTTGTGTAAATGTTCCTTTTGTTTGTGAACTGTGAAAGTATTTGTATGTTAAATTACAGTGAAGCCTAATTCGATGACGAAGAACCCACTTTGAGACTAATAATGACTGGAGACGGCTTGAATGGGTAATGAAGAAAAACTTTAATATAAGTTTAACATAACAGCAAATGTACAACGTTTCGACAAAGTTTTGACATCATCAGGTACGTTGTACATTTGCTGTTATGTTAAACTTATATTAAAGTTTTTCTTCATTACCCATTCAAGCCGTCTCCAGCTATTATTAGTGAAGCCTAGTTTAATCAAGCATATTTGTAATGAATTAATTAGTCCAGATTATCGAGACAAGAGTTGAATCAATCACTTTGAATGCAATGGACACTATCAGTAACATACATTATTAATCAGTAAATGTAAGGGTGGCAATGCAATTGGTAAACAAAAACAACTGTATGTACAATAAACTTATCAGTTTGATATTTCATACTTTGTCAATACTTATAAAAATTGCATAATCAAAGAGGCATTTTAGTATCTTCGCTCAAAAATAATTTTGTTCAAACCAATGATTTACTTACAGAATACAAAAGGCATAGTATTAGTCAAATACAAAACAAATCATTTTCCAAATAAAGATGTAATCACAGTCTGTTTTGGAACAATTTTGTTTTTTCTTTTCAATTTTCTTAGCAGTTTTAAGCAAATAAAATGTTATTTTATCATCCTCACATAATCACTGTTTAGTTCAAACTATGTAATAACATATTTATAGTTAGACTATGCTTTATTCAGATTCACTGGCTTAACTGGTGGATCATTGTTGACATTGGATGCACTGTCATTTTAAAGAACAATCATGGAAATGATGTTTGCATCTAACCACTTTTAACCAGTTGGTTTTCCTGAGTTAATGTTGAACCACTGATCAGCTGACACATTATCATTAACACTCAAAATATAGGTATGAATTCCAGAACATATCAAATTTCAACAATTTCACTCTGTTCAGGCTGTGGTAAGATCTTAACATGCTTGAAGCAATTTTTGGTAGTTTCCATAATAACAGAGGACCATTTGTAAACCTGTAAACACTTACAGTTTGCAGATCATTATTACAGCACATTCTATGTACTTTCTAATCAGCTGACAGTGGTAGTAAGTTTTGAATGATCTAATTATGTTATCATCCATTGTGATTTAGCGTGACTGTAGTATAAATGTAGCACTACTTAAATGAAAGTCACATTTCAATTTTTAAGCTTTAACTAGTACAGAAACGTTTCTACAAATTTTTAAAACTCATAAATTCGGGCGCTATGTGATACAAGAAAGATAACATATTAACACATTAATAAAAATTTTCCTCACTATTTCACACTAGCATTTTAATGTTCAAGTAATGTACTTCATTTCTGCCAAAGAAAAAAAATATTTTTAATGCACAGTAATAAACATACATACCTTCATTTGAAATGGCTTTCTTGGGACAAGTTGATGTGAACTGAAAGACATTGCTTCCTGATAATTCTGTACCTTCCACAAGCAAAGCTAAATAAATTATCCAAACATATAAACTTATAAAATTGGGTGACAAAAATATAATTCACATAAAAAAGCCTATTACATGTGGGTAAAAAAAAAAAAGTTAAAAATTTAAATCAAACTTAATATTGTTATACAGTTAAAGCAAATCTTTATAATTGAAATGATCTCTTTCAATACCACATTGTTTTGCAATATTACAAATTACTGGTACAAATACATGTGTCATTGCATGCTCTTGTAGCAGTGATCTATACTACATGTTTTTCACTCCTTTTAGTCTAAAAGTAAAGTTTACAAAATTTTGCTGTTTTTCTGTAGCTCCCAGTTGGAACATAGCATTGCTCAAGCAAGTTTCAAACTTTAAACATCTCTTGTCTAATTATTTTACTGTAATAGGAAAGTGCTTTTAATTAGCAAGCAAAGTTATTCTTGTCAATGAATCAGGAAGTAGTTAAAAGTGGACTCGCCAATGACCACTGACTGTTGGCTAACTGATCTAACAGGCAACAACCATTATTTTCTTGTGTTAGCAACTAAAGAGTTTATCACCATATCTAAAACAATGTTGGGGTTAGGAGGAACAGACTTAAAAAGATTTTACACAGATTTTTTGAGAGATTTATATATAGATCTAGAGCAACTTTACCAAAATTTAAGCAATTATATTTGTCATAAGACATTATGTTAGGCCTAATATATGTTTAACACCACATTCTGAACTTTGTCTCTTAAAGACTTTCAAGAATTAGAAGAGTGTATATTGATAGTATTTCAACCATACCATTCATCACATCCACTACCATTGGTACTTTTCACTCAATCCAGAACTCTGGATATATAATGAACACAGTAGTGGTTGGAATACTAGTTATATAGGCCATTTGTTAACAGAGCAATTGTTATGGTGTGAATGCCTTTTAGAAGCTGGCAAAGATGATACAATTGATTATATTTGTCATAAGACATCATGTTTGACCTATTATATTTTTAACACAATATTCCTAATCTAGTCCCTTATGGATTTTCAAGAATTAGAAGAGCATATGATGGTGGTATTTCAACCACACTATATTCATCATATCCATTGCCAGTGGCATGTTTCGCTCAATCCAACATTTTTCAAGCCAGTGGAGATACAAAAAAAAATAGTGGTTAGAATACTCTAAACTCTTATTATTTGTGGGCCTAACTCCTCTACTCTGTAGGCAATCTTTAAGATATTATGCTGTACAAGCAAAAATTAAGCAACAAGACACAATAAAAATATGTATGTTTACTATAATACAACAAATAACATAAGGAAATAATCCACATTTACTTAATTTTCTCTGTGTACATGTATACCTACCATATTTTTCAGAATATAAGACGCACCCTTATTTTGAAGACAAAGTTTTGGGGAAAGAAAGCTACAGTCGCATTTGAAAGATTTTTATTAA